GGCCCCTTGAGAAAAGTAACCGCTGACCCCTGAGCTGGAGGTTGCTTAGTAACTTAAACCTGTAGTTGTTAACCTACTCCTGTTACACAGTTTTGCAACAGTGTAGCAACTCTTAAACCTGAAAACACCACAGAATACAGAAGAAAAGCTCACCAAACTTGCTCTGCCTGTGAATCAGACAGCTCCACATCAAACGCGCGCTGCAGGTGTAACCACTATAAATATGCATTCCATACAATCCGTGGCACATCTGACCCAGGAGCAGTCATCAAAGGCTTACATGTTTGGTGAACCTGAAGCATAACCCTGTACAGAACTAAGCAAATCAATCCTCGAAATTTTTAGTACAGAAAACAGAAACTGTGAGATAGGAGGAATAACGTGCATCTGGCCTCAAACTGGCAACCTTTGGATGACTTTTCCTTTATGCCTACAAGCCAAACAATACTTTTACTTTATAGTGTCAATGCTGACTTGAAAATAGAAACATTAAATGCCTGTGATAAAGCATCTGCTTGTACCAACTGCACTGGTTTGGGTAAACTGTGTGAAATAACTTCCAGTCCCTTCCTAATAACCACACTCCACCTGCAGTTCAGTTTACCACCCAGTGGAGTTTCACTGGACAACAGGTGTTTCCTTTGTGTCCACGCAGCCACCCAGCGAGTTGGAGAAAGATCCTTCGCCAAACCGCAAGATCCCAAATCCTCCTGCGAAATACGGCCAGTGCGCCTGCTGTGTCACGACTTTCACTGCCGGTCCTCCTCACAGTGCCGAGCTGCAGAGCAGAGATCATCCTGTGTGTCCCATTTAGGTGGAATGGCATGTAAGCCGAACACCAGGGCCGGGTGAGTGAGGGCTGGATGCTGTCCCTCGGCGACCGTCTCTCCCAGCGGTGCTATCTTTTCAAGTTCCAACTCTTCCTGTGCCTCTCTAGAGGCCTGTCAGTCGGATGAAAGGTATTTCCTCTGAGTCACCACTATGTTGTCTTTTGTCAACCATGGCTTAAAGACCTCTGGTACAAAAAGCTGTTGTCTGCTCCCCCGGCGAACGGCCAGCCTCACAACAAACCTTTTTCTATAATTGGACTTTTTCAGATGAAATGCACTATGCTCTGCATTATTCTTACAGGATGCTGGCCTACTTTTAGCAGCATGATTTCCAGAGGGTGTTGAGGGTTTTTTTCCCCTTCAGTTGCATGGATCAACTCACAGTGACAGACTGTGAGAGACACACATAACCAGAATATTCTGGAGGCCATCGTCTGTTTTATCTTGTCCCATTTCTGACAGTAAAGTTAAAGTAGAACACGATGCTTGCATAGCATGGGCCTATCATTTTTAATAGTGCACCTACAATCTTCAAACATAAACTTATTGTTGAACTCGAGCATCCCCACCGCATCTGTCTTACTCTCTCGACTATCCAGCGAGAGCGTCTCAAGCCAAAAAGACACATTGAACCCACACACATATGGTGAACAGCTCTCTCTATTCAGCTGCTCACTCCAAAAAGGAAAATTTACCTTCACATGCTCTGCGCTACACATAATAAATCACTTTTTTGATGCTTGCTACATTCCGAGAAATATTTTGCAGTGAAGTGTTGCGCTTTTCATTTTCGAGCCGCCTTCCGTCGGTCTCCCTCGTAAACATTCACTCTGCAACTTCCTACATTTTCAAGAATTCCTGTTGACAGAAACCAAAGGACAAAGTTTGCATGTTGCTTTCTGCCCAGATTAGAGTGAGAGAAACAGACCCAAAAGGAAGAGGAGGGCGGGGCTCATTCAAGTTCATTTATAGCTCCTTATCATACGTACATCTGCAGACGACTCTGCAAGGACAAAACAAAGAAGGGACAATCAATCCCAGAATGACGTCACGGTGCCCGACAGGAGTCCAAAGTCATTGTATGGGCTCAGTGAGCACTGTGTGCCACGACTTAAATGGTCATGACAACGTGCGAGTGTGTTCACCGCACACCACCGCCGACCGGTCCCTGCAGATGGCCCCGCCCCTCCCTGAGTCTGGCTCTGCTGGATGTTTCTTTCTGTTAAAAGGAGTTTTTCCTTACATGTCACCATGTAAGTGCTCATGAGGGAGTTCTTGATGGATGGGGTTTTCTCTGTATTATTTACAATATAAAGCACTTTTAGGTGACTCCTGTTGTGATTTAGCACTACATAAATAAAACTGAATTTAATTCAGTTGAATAGACTCTCACAGTTCTGTATTTCATATTAAATTCGATGACTTGTATATTTTTATTCTTTCATTGAGTGTAAAGAGACAATAGCACTTAGTATATTTTTATCTATAAAGCCCTACTGAAAAAGCGCCCTTCTTATTGGTGGAAATTTTCAACAGTTGCAAACACCTGTTGTGATTTGTGCTCTTCTAGTCCAGATGCCATAATTTCAAGCACTTAGGACACAGGTGCCGAACTCCAGGCCTTGAGGGCCGGTGTCCTGTAGGTTTTAGGTGTGTCCTTGATCCAACACAGCTGATTTAAATGGCTAAATGACCTCCTCAACATGTCTTGAATTCTAGAGAAGCCTGGTAATGAACGAATCATTTGGTTCAGGTGTATTGACCCAGGTTGAAATCTAAAACCTGCAGGACACCGGCCCTTGAGGCCTGGAGTTCCTGACTTAGGACTACCATTTCCTGGATGACAGAGAACCTACAAACTCGAGGGACTTGAGAAGAAGAAAAAGAAAAAAGAAAGAAAAGAAAATGGTCAGTCCTCAGCCTCTCATAGTATGGCACAACTGGCTCTGAGCTGACAATCACTTCTGACAACTTTAAGGACAATTTATATTCTAAAGCAGTCTATGCCAATAATCACCATATTAGGTTTGTGCATTCTTTGGCCCTGATTCATGTTGTTATCTTATACAATATGTTAGAAATGCAGAGCTGTTCCACTGCTATGAAGTCATATGTAATTTGGCCCAAGTGAATCACTCCTTTCTGCAGCCGGCCTTAACTTCCTGCTAGTCTGGACCTTCCCGTTTTCATCGCCAAAGCCACAAATGACACATGCAGATTCACTGCTTCAGTAGGGGATGCCAATAAATTTGGCTTGGATTTGAGGTCGGAGACTGAACTAACAGTACTAACAGCATGGGCATTTTCTGTGCTTGAATACAATTACGCAGCTGACGTGTTTTCAATAATGTGTGCTGGAAATGTAGCTGCTGTTGACCATCGGATGAGGCTGTACCTCTGATAACACACTGTGAAAATGAATTTCCGCAGATGGTTAATGTCCTGCTGGCTGAAATGCGTTGACGCGTTACACCTGAATGTACCGCTGAACAAACACTGACTTCTTTTGATGAGTTCTTGATGCGAGTCATGGGTGAGGGATAAAACAGAAAGTCCTGAGGTGCCTGTGCAGTATTTCAGCCTGTTAGTCTTTCTGAGCGTGACACATTAACAAAAGCATCCATTAAGTGGCCTTTAAATGACTGAATTTTCTCAAAGTTGGCATATGCTTTTCCAAGAACAAGCAATCTCTCTGCAGGAAAATCAATGGATGCTGCCAACAACTTCTCAACTTTTTGATCTACATGATGTCAAAAAGATGGGATGTCCTTAATGTAGCAGTTACACAAGGCCCGCCCCCACTGGCTGTTCAAACCTTCAGTTTGCCAGGGGCAGGCAATCAGAAGTAAGCTGGCTTAAAGAGGTGCTAAAACAGCATTTAAAGAGTTTAGAGTTGTGCAAATTTACTCTAACAGAATCCAAGAAATGAGCATAATGGGACCACATGTACAAGGCAAACAGTCAGCTTTAAAATTTATGATTAAAAGTTTAAAACTGAAATTTCACATGCTTATCAGTACCCTGCTAATTACAAAATTAAGCCTTGGTGTGCCTGCGATGTCTCTTTAAAGCGTGATAACCATTAATGAAGGCCCATCTAGGGTCAGAGTTCCCCGACATGATTATTTGTGCCGCGCTTATGTAACCACGAGCAGCGTGAACACTTAACATAGCTCGCTCAGTCTCTCAGCAGATAAGCCCCGGCGGCGACAGAGCAGCGGATCTGTGAAGCAGTCAGGAGGGAAAGGAAAGAGGCTTTAACTGGCTAATATAACTGAATGTGCCTAACAGGTGGCTTGAGTAAAGCCTTTGCAAAACAAAGTGAAGCTATCCACAGGTCCACATGAATCTTCAAGCACAGTGATGATCAACCTTAAAGAGGGAGAGAAAAAAGAAGAGAGTGGTTTTCTCTGCCCTCACATCTGTTAATTTTACTGTGCAGAGATGAAGAGTCATCTGGTTGCCTCGGATTGCCGCTGCAGACTGTGTTTGCTATTACTCAGCATTAGTAATTAAAGGGGGCGTCAGAGGGTGGGCAGGATGACTAAGTGAGGCTCCTCGGTGAGAAATGAGCAAAAAGGAATCAAAAGAATAAAGGAGACATTGTTCATTATTTAGTTATTCTTCTTGCAGTCAGAAGGGGGTGAGGAGAGGGGGAGATAAAGTATTTCTGGAATTAATCTAGTGAATGAGATTTGATAAACAACTCTTTAAATTCATTAGTTGCTCATTTCTACTTAGAAACTGTGTTAATTGTTTGTTTGTTTTTGTACCAGTATGACATGTGAGTTCATACTGGCTATCTACATGTCTTTCATTAGTTATTACATAACTAAATCCTGTTTGTAATGAACATGACGCTAGACGACATTTTTACTAGTTGAGCTTCACTTATCTCACCCCGCTTTCCCTTCTGTGATCAACATCAAACAGTTGCACGCATATTTTTTTAGCTAACATCTCATTCTCTACTTTATGTTTCTGTATTTTTATTATTGTTGTTGTTTTTATTATATTTAGGTCTGTATGGGAAAATAAGATGAAGAGGGGGAAATGTTCCAGTATGTCATCGTGTCTGCTATTCCTAATAGCGTGTGATTGGCCGCACTGGTTGCGAGCTCTGAAGAGGGAGGGGCGTGAACCTTTCGTCGCGCGCTTATATGTGCGCGTGTGCTCCTCCGCGGGATCAGGGAGAAACGCTCGAGCAGAGAGAAGCGAGCTGTGACAGACGAGCAGCACTACAGACGTGGACGGTACTCGCAGAACCTGCTACATCTACTGACTACTTACTGAAGCAGCAGCTAGCGTGTGGTGGTGATTCAGCGGACTTAGTCGGACAGTTTTATTCCAGAGAGGGAGTGAGAAAGTTTGGAGAAATGCACTCAGTGTACCTGGTCAGCCTGCTGTTTATCTTCAGCACCCTGCATGTTAACCAGCTGACGGAGGGCTGCTCGTGCGCTCTCACGCACCCCCAAGACGCCTTCTGCAACTCCGACATAGGTGGGTAACCCCGATTTTTTTTCCCCCCTCTCATACTCATGAAAATTAGTGTGACTTTATTCTAACCACTGCACGGAGGTCAGATGTTAAAATAAAAGCTTTGCTTGTCACAGGAGCATGAAAAAACTGGTTCCTTCCAGTCCTTTCTGGGTTTTCGCATGCGGATCTCTCACTGTGAATTGGACATTTTTAATAAACTCTGGTAGTTTTTGGTCAGTGCAGGATGCTGATTAAAGTGAGAGAGCTTAAAATGTCCCAAACTGATGAAGACGCTTGAGGACCTGAGTATAAGAATCACCTGATTCAATTCACCTCGTGGTCCCACCTGTTTAAATCGGAGCGAGTGCAGAGTTCTCTTCCAGCATCTGCCTTGATGATCCTTAGCAGGCTTCCCCACACAGATGATTGAATGTTGTTGCTCTGTGCGTGTCTGTGTGTCAGAAAACTGTTTGACTTTTAATTTACTTCAAATATTCCGCTTTTGCTCGGGACACAAATGTCTGCACATTCTTCCCAAAGCTGTGCTCTGGTGGGAGGATGGGTGGGTGAGGGGGAATGTGCTTTGATTGGTGTGAATTGGAACCAGTTGAAAACAAGACCCACAGTGAGTTTACATGTTTCAAATACTGTTTATTTATCTGCACGCTCTGGTATGTCTGTGTTGAGCGGCTCAGTACGCCCGGCCTCGGGTTGATAAAGCAGCAGTGGAGGGTCGAGGTGTGCATGGCTTGTTTTACTGGCCTGGGTGTGCTTTCTCTGACTGCCCAGAATAATATGAATTTAGGATCTGGCTTAGCCTGGAACGCCGGTCCAACCTGACCTCTGTGGTTGGATAACACCAGTAAAGACCCGAGGATCATTTGATCTCTGCTGTAGGGAGAGAGGGCTGAAGTGTTTCAGATGGGACAGAAAGGCGGTTTTTATTGCAGACGAGGAGCGCAGACTCGCATTTGGGTTTCTGACTGGAGCCGATATTTTGTTTTAATCTCATTTGACCTGAAAATGTGTGAACCGTCATGAGGCACTCTAAAATCCTTAACCCGAGCTCAAACAATAATCTCTCA